CTTGGTTGATACTCGTATACTTTATTTCATGAACAAACAATTTAACCAGTTAGTCGTTGCGACCTCTTTAAAAAGTGTGTACTTTATTCTGGTATGTGTACGTGTTCATTACTGCAAATAATTGTTTCTAAGATTTTCATTCGAATAACGTATACCTATAAAGTTGGTTGTTTCGAAAATTAATATTTCCTTAACCATTCGACTGTTTTTCGACGAGTATACTGGTTAAGGGCTAGGCACACGAACGACGCGATCGCGTCGCGATCATGCGTACATGTACCATATATACAGAGCACATTTCATCTTACACAATCAAAAAATAGAAATACATGGATTTGTCATTCTTGTCGCGATCTATTGCTGTTTTGCCAATCGCGGTATCGCTGACAATCTTGTCGCTATCTCGTATCGCTTGTGTGCATAAGCCCTAAGATCGTTGCTCATATATCAGTGCAAAGTCAGCTTAGTATTACACTGACGCATTATTCACTTGCATTTTTGTTGTGAGTTAACTTAGATCAGATTCGATTCTCATATTAGCCAGACAGACTTTTCTTCGATTCTGAATTTCCTCTGGACCTCAAACTGATGTTATTCATGATGCGGTTCTTTTCATTTTCCTATGAAATTCCTTTTTCACAGTTCTTCCGGATCAGTCAATTTCCAAATCTTGACACTGCCTAACGAATCGTCACTACACTATACTCTAAACGTTATAATAAGGTTTCACTTATTTCCTGTTATCTTTCTACTGCTCATAGATATCAACTCGAATATGTTTACAGGTCGACGGTCGTATGATTAATTTCATTCCGAACTTCTGTGTATCCAATATTATCTCCTTTGTTTTTATTGTCTTTATTTCACCTCTAGAAGTGACTCTCAGTCACCATCTGATTTGATGAACTATAATTATATAATTTGATATTTAAGACTGAACCGTGTATAATGCATCGATGCGTGAAACATTGGGATAAAAAAGCTTTCTTTCTCAATTTACTTGTGATTTCTCTTTGAATTAATTTCAAAATATATCATCTTCGCCTAGTTAAAAAATGTTAAGTATATCTAACGAAATACTTCCGAGTGCAAAGGGTTAATAACGTATGATATTTTTATAAAATACAACGTAAAGTTTTTCAATTTTGTGAAGTACAGTATTATTACACTGATGCTGCGATGTTACATGGCTGACGATTATTCGTCAAATATTTGTGTAAACGCAACATAACGTGACCAGCTGAAAACATTGGATTTCTTAGCGATGCGTGGTCCAGGTTCGGACGTGCGCCAGTGCGCCAAGCTGGTCAGCTGGCCCGGGTTAATTACAAACTGGAACTCGGGACATTCCGACGCGGCCATAGCACCGGCCAGAACCCTTGTTACCATGAAACGGGTTAACGAGTGGCCAAAGTTTACGAGGCGGTACTGCCATCAGATGATTGCGAACAGGGGGATCTGTAAATTGCGACGGTATGCTGCACGGATCCTGCTCTGTTTGAGGAATCTTCAAATCGCGGGAAATTTGAAGTGTTTGGTCAGGTTGAGAAGATGATGGATACAGTTTTGAATGTAGAATGGGGAACTTTTAAAATATTTACAATATTTATTTAGTGTGCGTAACGGCCAATGTATAATTAGTGTTCGCAACTACATAAGTTAAATTTTATCACTTACAGTATTTACATGTATGAGATTTGATATGATTAAAAATCCGATTAATTTTAGTAAGAATTTTGTTTTGGAAATTAAGAACATCCTTTGTACATTGTAAAGATTATTTGAAAAATCTATGGATTATTTATTACACTATGAATTCTTTATCGATCGTAATGTTGCATGACGTTAGACTTCAATTGTAAAAGAAAGCATACTTCGAAATTCGCAGTAAAAGTCGCATCGAACAAAACTGGTATTACTGATGTACATGAAGATTTCCAAAATTTTCCAAGAAGATGTTCGAAATTGATGTAAGTATATTTTTCCAAAACTTCGTGACCGATTGAAAGTTTGATTAAAAAACGTTCGATTAATCCGCGGCCATTCCCCGCGAACCTATGCACACCGTTCAATTATCAAGGGTCTCTTTCGCCTCTCTTACTCTACGTTAACTGAGTTGTTGCCTCGATAATTCGTACATTGGAGTATCGGCTGTATCGTCGGGGGTTCGCCGCATTAATTTGCGGCTTGGCGTGGGAATTTCTGTTAACTCTATAATCCGGAACTTATGGTCTCTCGGCCATACACTTACACGACAGATCAATTTCGAGTTCATTATTGAACGATCGAATTGACAGAAGGATTCCCTTTGTGCGCTCCCAGTGATAATGATTACTTAATATTAATCCAATTGAATTTGGATATTTCTTCAAATTTCTTTTTAGCGAGAGATTTATGTTAACGTTTATGTTGACATAATGCACATGTATATACGAGGAATTAATTCTACTAAGGTTGATTTCATTTTCTTGCTATCATTCTTAAGTGAATTATATATAACTCGATAATAAGTTAGTTATAGAAACAATTGCAGAATCAAAGTCAATGTTTTGATAAAGAAATCATTTCTGAACGCTCACTGATTATATCAACTCGGCTACAATTACGAGCGAATATTAAATCATTTGAAATGATTGATTCGTTAATAACAGAGGCGCCGAGAATTTAATTGTTGCGCCTCTCTCTTTCTCTCTCTCTCTCTCTTAATGAGTTTCATGAATCGATTGAAACGAAATTAATGCGAAGCATCGTGAGTCGTATATATACGAAGAATTATGAAACAAAGATTGTACATGTTACGAAACATTAATAAACCGAAGAAAGTATTAAAGAATGAATTAACTTTAGGAGTATGAAAATTCACAGATAATAATCAATGAAAGGTAATTAAAATTTAATTCTTCATCTAATCTAACTTTTAATTTAATTCTCATATTTTAGTCTGTTTCTAAAACAATTTATTGTAAAGAATAAGAATGTAACAGTTTTCAGTTTTCGAGTCGGAAAAAGAATTCGGTCGTTCTTTATTCGGACGCAGACTAGCAAAAACCTGGAAAGTGAAAATGGCCTCTCCGGCGTCGGTGTACTGGCAATATCATCGGTCCGCGGGACTAGAAATGGATCTGGCTAGGTGATTTATACGGCTGCGTCCCGCTGGATATCAGAAATAGATTTCGCCGCGGTGAAGGTCCAAATCCGGATCCCGTTCCGAATCCCGATTGACGTTCGAATTATTGCACCACCCCAGGCAACTCGAACGAACATTCCCGTTCACAAGGAACGATTCATTGAAATCAATGGAATGCAGCTAACGACGATTTACACATTGAATGATTTATCTGTAGGAACTCACGTGTATTAATCAAATTCAATGAAACCGTTCCTACATATTGAATTAAGAGCCATTCATCGTCGATACATTAAGGGGCGTGTTCATTCAAGAAAAATTCAAACAGATAAAGAAATATTTTCATGTGATACTTCAATATTAATGAATACGTGTATTTGCATATTGTAGTTTTATTCCTGCATATTTATTACTATGATACACATGTAAATATAACTACTTCCCTTTCGAGTTTCGATAGTTCAGAGAAATTGCAATTTATGAATTTAATAAGTTGGATTAGAATATCTAAGATAATAGTATACTTTCTCATAGACTAATTAAATAAAACTTTACGTACTGAATTCCCAAAAAATTGTTTCCTATAGCTTCTAGGTAGACGTAAAAAATCACATGTTCAACCCCAAACGTTAGATCTGTTCATCCTTTCAACATGCATAATTACCAACAATATATTTCCAAACATTTACGTGTATAATAGTCAAGTATACATAAATATAAACATCAAGCATGTAGTTATATATAGCAATTAAATTTCATTAAAACGAACGAGTGGGGGGTTGAACACGTTCCCATCGCTACAAATCAATACTTCCGGAAGAATCCTTGGCTTCTATATCAGCGTCCGCACCGTGATACTCGGAGCAGCATTATGCCCGATCAACCACTTGGTGAGAAAGGATTTCGAATGAAAAGGGAAAAAAATTGTTGGAGGGAAAGAAAGAGGAAGAGGGGGAGAGAGAGAGGGAAGGAGAGAGGGAGAGGGAAAGAGAGAGTATGATAGTCGGTTGGCTGGAAGTTGGGCACACAGTTCAACGGGCCAATCGATAAGCAGAGTCAGAAAAACGCGGTGGCTATCATCCAGACGCCAGGATAAATCTATGATTCACGAGCGACGGTTTACGTTTATTTATTATAATGCCGAGACTGTCCGATCGGCCAGATAGATTTAATCCGGACGGTTCATTAACTTTGCCCCGGGATTTATGAGCACGGATGGCTGCCTTTCTCTGCACTTGAGGATTTGCATGGATTTATTTCGGTTCACCGATACGCGCGCCGTATCGAAGTATGTGCTGCATCCATTATAAATGTCGCATTGACAATACCTCGTAGTTACTTTAGCTTCGATTGTATACTGGTAATCGGTCAGAAATGTGTACGCATAAAATGTTCAAAATTTCACTTTACCGTGGGATTACTTAGATGTACCGGTACTAGTGCAACCGAAATCGAATGCGGATGTGGGTCACGTGACGTCACGTGCATTGTAATTTCGTTTTAATCGGAATGAATTAAATATTGAATTTAACGTATTTCTATAAATCAATTTTTATGCTATAATTCTTTGTTTTATGATCCTATTCTAATTCTGAATTTGATCATTTTGTTCTAATTCTTTATTTTATTATCCTATTGTACATCCTAATTTTATTACTTTATTATCCTATTCCAATTCTTAATCTGTGTATTCAGTCGTTCTACCGAAATTATCTCTATCCTCCAAAAATTATTCTTACACGTTCAAATTTCATTCCCCGGTAGCTATTTGTATTCAGAAATGAAAAGAAACCGAGGTTTAAAGCAGAAAATCCGAAAGTTCGAGGACAGAGTCAAAGATCGTTCGAGGTACGCACGCGAGCACACCACTTACCCGTATACGGTCGGCAATAGTTGCGATTTACTTTGCTGTAAATCGTAGGCAGGGAGGATTCCGCTCCAGGCTCGACGTACGCCTTGTTCTTGCTGTCCCTGGGGTCGCTATATTGTTCCACAACTTCGACTTCCGCCTGAAAACAGAGGAGAAATTGTTTCCTTCCGTTACGATCTAGAGGCAGCGCCGCTAAAAGCACGCTGAAACGCCGGGCATTGTTTACACTGAGCACCGGCAAACATTCCATCGGGCGAAAAACAAACGGTAAAACGGCGAAAGGAAAAGTGTGAAAGTGAAATATCCACGTGGATACCTGACTGCAGCGGAGAGCCGCTCTCAAACGCAATTAAACGCAGTCGGAAGTGGAGATGGGAAACACTTCTGTATTTTCCTTTCTTTCCCTCTTTAACCGCTCCATCCTCCGGCACATGTGCTCCCAAGAGTAATGGAAAATGTTTCGCGTGCCGTTCGCAGATATTTCAAGTGCGCCTTGTTGACATTGAACTACATACAGCTTAATAATATGTATTTTATGCTTCGTATTTGTCCAAATTTCAGAGCGAAGTGTTCCATGCAGAAAGATATAGTCCTCATAAAAGAGGAAAGTACCAAATATTAAACTACCGTGAACGTCTGCATTGACATTCTATTTAAAACTTACTAGACCATGTAACTGAAGTAATGCAAATATCAACTCGACAATCTGTGATTGCAGTTTTCATCATTATCTAAGAGTACGTTAGTAATAGAACTACCGAGCATTTAATATGATTGATGTGTACTCCCTATGAAAATCGTAGCAATAGATTATTCTCAGTTTCTTTGGATATTCGTTATAGCATTCAAGTGAAACTATTTATTAATAATCGTTTCGAATACCCAATGCTTTTAAGATATCAAACATTGGGAAACAAGGAAACCGAAAACATTCATTCTGATTATTATAGCAGTTGTAGTGTTAACACTTGTCCAACCGAATGTGGAGATCTCCCAGTTTTACTTAGCAACGTATTGCCTTTTATTCTGTTTATCTTTTCCTTTGTTATTTAGTAAGTCTTGAAGTGGTATTATTTGCAATTCATCAAATATGGTTCTTGTTTTTACAAAACATAGTTTCTAATCAAATTAATTGAATAAGTTCAATTAAAGGTAATGGAGGAGGTTATGGTTATAATTCTTTTTAGGCGGTCGCCTAAGTGTTAAGAAATCCTCCCCCATAACAATAGACTCTCAAGCTACTGAATACGGACAAGAAACTGAAGCATCGATTTAAAGCTACTTCCAAGTAGCTCCCTCCCATTACTGACCCAGTTCGTTACAATACTATCGACGCTCAATGAGTCACCAAAAAGGTACATATTCCCTTCGCTGTTTTCATAAAAAACCAAAGAAGCTGGTCCGGATTCAACGGGAAGGCCCTCAAACCCAGGGACCAGAATAGGCGCGAGTAGAAAACAAACAACGGCTACTTGGACAGGAATTATTGACTCGGTAACAATACTAATTTGGCAGCGCGCTGGCCGCTTGGCGCTCGTGCGCGTCTAACAACGTCCAGGTTCGTCCCTTTAGGGGACGCCATCAGCAAGGGTTATTGCGGGAGTTCCTTCGAATAAGCACGCGACACGTTAGTCCGACGCAATTCCCAGCCCTGAGCGCAGCCAATTGCGGTAATGCCTTGGCCACGGCCGGAGGATAAACATTTTTAGTTCTGCCTCCCTAAATGATCGTTATTTCCAGAGAAAACAACCGGAAGATGCCGCGTCTCCTTCCCCTTTTCCGGTGTTTTATCGACTTGACTTTCTGGTCGGATTCAACGCGATCAGGTATGCACGAAAAGTATCTATAGCGAAGTAATCCTTTGATACTCGTCTCTAGTCATTGTGCTTGGTAACTTGACGATTGACCCACTTGCATCATATGATAGAATGAAAAATATTATTCTGCTAAAATTTTTGTTTTGTCGTATTTGAATAATTGAAGCATAGGAATCAGTACGTAGAATATAATATAAAATTATAGTAATATAGTAAATAGTATTAATAACATTATAATAATATAGTAAATAGTAATAATAATATTATAATAACATAGTAAATAATATATACGCTAACTTCATCTTCTTTTTCCTGTACATAGTATTTTTCAGGTACAATGATAAAGACACTTTAATATCAAACTTTGAACACCGAACTTTGAACATCTAACAGTCGTAAACAAATTTGCGAGAGCTGTTTGCAGAATGGTAATAATTTTAATTCAACCTTATCCAACTTGCGGGTTCGAGGAGTCCTCCCCTTCCTCTTAGAAGATCCGGGGTTAACATGCTGGTAATTTAAACGAAATACCTTGAAGCTCGAGCGGAACACCGAAAGGATTCATGGAGATTGCATTTGCCTCTTGGTTTCCGGGATAGGAGGTAATTGTCTGTGGTAATTACAACGTCTGCAGGACTCTTATGGCCCGGACGATTTTCGTGAATTACTGCTTTCAATATGCACTGGCGGCGGGCCGCTAACGGTTATCGGGACAGAAAAATGGTCCAGAAATTGGACAGCGTCTATTGCTTAAGTACCTCGTTCCCATTCACTTTCATTTTAACTTTTATACGACTTAACACGTACAGCACAAAACCGACTATTCTTTCCTACAAAACAATAGCGAAACAAAAACATTCGTTACAAATACCGTAAAATAAAAATATCTCGCGAGAAAATACAACAAAATCTTTAATTTCCCCCAACAAAAACTCCGTAACATTCTTATATCTAAATGCCAAATAAAATCATGTCCATTACTTAACACTAAGACTATCGGTAGTCGAGTTGACTTTACGTACAATAGAACTACCAAGCACTAGAACTGACTTTTCCAAATTTCTTTATAAAACTGTGTATTTATTAAGATTTCAATCAGCTTGTATTTTAATGTAGATATCACTAAATCAGCTTTTTTAACGATTTCCCAGAGAAGCATTTGTACGTTTCCAGTAATTATAAAAGAAGAGACCGGGAAATCATTCTGACCCATCTGGTAGTTCTAATATTAATTATCTTGTACAAAATCTAAGAATGCATCTGTTAACATTTCTAATCATTTGTAATATAGTTTACGCATTACAGAATCAATTTCTTTAGTAACATCACAGATAAGCATTAATTACTTTTTCAATAATAGTAAAAAATAAATCAGGAATCGGTCAAATTTTGACCCATCTGGTAGTTCTGGTGTTAATTATCTTGTACAAAATCTCAGAATGCATCTACTAACATTTCTAATCATTTGTAATCCAGTTGACGCATTACAAAATCAATTTTTCTAGTAACATCACAGATAAACATTAATTACTTTCTCAATAATAGTAAAAAATAAATCAGGAATCGGTCAAATTTTCACCTATTTAGTAAATTTATTATTAACCGAATAATTCAAACCGAATCCCAATTAACCGAACCGCGTGCGTACGCAACAAATCCAGCAAGTCCACCCCACGGAAAGAAGACAACCATTCAGTCGCCGAGACTGCGGGAACCGGTCCCCGATATTAATGATAATAACGATAATAGAAGTAATAACGATGGCCCGGGGCTAAAGGGAGGCAAGGAGCATCACGGCGAAGAGAGATCGAAGGCGAACGCTCGATTTCTCGACGCGGCGGTCCGATCAATCGCGACAGGGACCTTCAGCCTTCCACGGCAGGGTGACGGGGGTTGTATCACGAGGCATCGGGAAGCCGGGCCGGGAGCTGAAGAAAAGGAAAATGCGGATTGAAACGACGGGGCAGACGGGGGCCAACGTCTGCCGGTACAAGACGGACGAGAAGACGACGAGGAAGACAAGTAGCCTTAAATTGAAAGAGGCCAAAATTGGAATTCTCCTGCCAAAGTTGAGCGTCGTGGCCCCGGGGGCTGTTTCGAACACGCCGTGGCCCGATTGCCTTCCGCCTGGCGCCCCTCGTCGAGGTTTGCTCGCCGGTGTTCCGCTCGGAACAGATAAATTCGTGGATGTTTATGCGGAAATTACGGGGCGGACGTGGCGGGTCGTTTTCGGGGCGGTAACGGGTCGATCGACTGTTGCAAATCCGATGACGGGGCGACAGGTTCGACTCCGACGAGCGCAAACACACGCCCGTATATTCCGTCGTCGATGAACGTCGGAGACGAGATTGTTGACTGACGCGCGGAGAGGGTGCGCGGGGAGAGGGCGGTTTCGTGGAGGAGATACGTACGCGTGAACGTTTTAGCGGGCA